GCAGTTGGTGAGGTCGGGAGTGCATGACAGAGGGTATGGATGCTAGTGCCGCATCACTGCTAACGAGTGCTACCTGGCGTTTTTCTGCTTCCGCTTTCCAGAGCTGATATTGCTTTGATTGGACTGGCCGTGATGGGTCAAAACCTGATTTTGAACATGAACGACCATGGTTTTGTGGTAAGTGAAAAAGAAAACATTGTTCGGAAGGGCTGATTCTCTACCACCCCGGAGCGGAGCTGAGTGTTTTGGTTTTTTCCCCTTGTGATGGTCTAATGGGTAGTGTTTCCTCCTTGTAATTGTAACCTCTGCTCTTTATCCAAGTTTTCAAAGAAAACTTGATGCGTTAGTTATGTATTAGCATGCGCTTTCCCTTAAATTTACTTTGGACTTAGCTATTAACTAGGTTCCCAAAACATTCGCAAAGACATGCAGGCGGCTGCGGGTTTGTCCCTGCTCTATGCCTTTAGAGAAGAGGGAAGTAGGAGACCATATGGCGTGGAACCTTGCTCTTCTAATTCCTAGTCTGAGCTAAAGTAACGGTTCTCTTGGCAGCTTTTTTTTAACATCTTTCCTCGCTCCCTCAGGTTTGTGCTTTTAACAGGACAGTTTCCAAAGTGGATGACTTTCTGGCCAATGAGGCCAAGGGAACCAAAGTGATTGGTGCTCACAGCCTGGAGGAGATGGTCTCTGAGCTAAAGAAGCCCCGTCGCATCATTTTGCTGGTGAAGGCTGGAAGTGCAGTGGATGACTTCATCAATAAACTGGTAAGGCAAATGTTCTTTCTGCTTGTGATTTCTCACTGGCTCTTGGAGAATTTTGCTCTCTGGAAGTTCTCAGTTGCTTGTCAATAATGAATTTTTGAATGTGTGGAGAAAACCAAAACACTGATTTATTTTTGGCAGGTGCCTTTGTTGGAGACTGGAGATATCATAATTGATGGTGGGAATTCTGAATACAGAGATACCACGGTAAGCCTAGTACTGTTTATGTCAAAAGTAGAGGGATAAGGGTGTTCCCTTCCTGTGATCTTCCTCTCTGATCACCAGAATAGTCAGCCAATAAGATATCTCCCCTCTCCTCAGGGAAAGCCAGACTGAGTTACCCCTGCAAAACTATATCATACCGTCTATTAAAAAATACCGTAGTTAAGGACAGTTCCATAAGCATGCTTTTTACAGGAGTTGTCCTGATAGCTGAAGCTGCTTTTACTGGCAGCTTTTGAAGAGTGAAGGCCCCATCGAAATTTCTTGTTTCAGGGATATTTGAAAACTTAAGGATGTTTATAGAATTGATCTTGTCTAATAGGAAGGTCCTAGAACATGAGTTTCTGAGTAGTATGGACAGTATTCCATTTGTTGTTATATCTTGTTCATACGTGACCACAGGATAATCCAGTGAGATGCAACTCTACCTTGGACCTAATCTGCCTCCCCCACTTTCACCTTGCATGTGTCACCTGACACTAAATTCTGAGCCTTTTCCAGCCTCAGCACTGCACTCTTCTGTCTGGTGCTTACAAGGGCTTTGTTCTCTCACTGCATCTCTTTTGCAAGGGCCTATGTCAAAGCAGGGGAAAGTTTCCTAATGTTCGCGTTGCGGCGGTACAAACTTTCTCCAAGGTTGTCTGTTACTGTTCCAAAGCAGAACTGGATACCTAATTTTAAGTCTAAAAATTAAGACCTGGCTCGGGCATTAAAAAAAAATATATGTGTGTGTATAGTGCTGCTCTGCTCTTTGTTCCAGAGGCGTTGCAAGGAACTGAAGGAAAAGGGCATCTTGTTTGTTGGAAGTGGTGTTAGCGGTGGAGAGGAGGGTGCAAGATATGGGCCTTCACTCATGCCAGGAGGAGCCAAAGAAGCCTGGTAAGCATGAGTTAGTGTATTCTTCTTCAGGCTCATTTGCAGCAATAGTCTGCTGTTTGTGTTGAGAGCTGAGGGAGGAATGAAGGGCAGGGGTGGGGAAAGAACACGATATGTCACTATCTCACTTCCTCAAGGCTCAAGATTTCTCAACCTAGCTGAGGTCACAGGCCAGTGCTGGGTTTTCGTGATGGACAAAACTTACTCCGTTTTCTCATGCAGGAATATACAGGCAAAAGCAGTGCCTGCAGAAATCTGAAGGCAGACGCATGCGGAAGGGGAGAAAAGAATTTTGCCTAAATAAAAAAGTGTTATTTCTTGATTATGATTTTTCCTTTGGGATCCAATGAACTTGGAAAGTTGTTAGCCATAAAACAGGCAGCAACAAATGTCCCTGCAGTGACATGCATATCAAAGGAGGCTGTGCCTCTTGGAAAGCACACATTTTTTTGCAGGTCTCTGCCTTGCTGTCCTGCTGTTTCGTGCCTGTTACTGAAAAGAACTGTACATCAATTTCCATATGACACTTTTATCCCTGATTGCCTGTTTTCTCTGTAAATGTAGAAAGAAGTATTTTTTCTCCAGGCCTTACCTGAGCTTTAGAAATATTAAGTCCCTGTCCCTTTGCATCAGCGTTTCATCCCAAAATCAGTCTCTTCAAAC